CGAGGGAGACTTGCATTGAACGACAAGCAGTCACTGCTTGCCACACTCCGCCTGCTGCAGGAAGCTGCCCAACACGAATCCAAGTTTAAGCCAGGTTGCAGCTCTGCTCCCAAGCTTCCGATCTGGTGCCGCAGTGGTTTCTTCATCTGAAAGAGCGCGGAAGAGCCGTACTCACAAGCTTGTCGCCCTAGTTCGCCTAGTTCAGTGCAGATGCTGCCATGGCCTGGTCATCGTCGTCACTATCCTCGTCATGCATGCCTTCAGTTTCCCGTGCAAGTTTACTCGGACCACTTGGCCGCCTATCGGCAGGCAACTGGCACCTGAAGCTTGCCATAGTGCTGATAGCTCCGCCAAGGCAACCAGCTGACCTGCTCCGAGTTTTGCTTTCGAAGCTCGGAACGCGCTTTGGTGGTTCGGGCATGTTCTTACGACTTAAGCAATGGGCGTCCAGTGACGGTAAGCTTCTCAACATGCTTTTCTTGAAAGCTCAGATCCCACACCACAGTGTTACAGGATGTTACAGGCCCGCTTCTGAGCTCTGGAGACATGGGGCAACTGGGTACCCTTGCTCCAGGGAGGAGACTTCGTCCTACTTCTTTGTCTAGTTCCATGATGGGCATCGTACAACGCAGTAGCGTGCTCTATTCGCGTTTACCCTGAACAAGAACGTGTCTTTCAGACGGACTGCATAAAAGCTGGGCACTGCGTGGTGCACTGATGTAATAGATGTAATAGGCAGGGCGGGAGGACCCCATGTGTGGGCAGCTTCCGCACCGAAAAGAAGTACCCTCAACTCTGAACATCTCTGAACCCTTACCGGCAGCTATTGGATCATCCTAGTCGGATGCCTGCACGAAGGGTCGCCGCCTTCTCCACGAGATGCTTGAAGATCTTCTGGGCAGACCGCCTTGTCGACTCCGACGGATCACCACATCTTCCCGAGCTCTACTTGATTAAGGTGTCCTTCTTCTTAGGGCGTTGCACCTTGGGAATCTACCAACATGTCACAAGACACTCGGCCTTCAAGGCGAGTCTTCTAGTCGATATCACACACTTTCACACTGTGTCATCACCACATCGAGGACAGCTCTCTCAGCAGTTGGGAAGCTTCCTCACGGCCCATGCTCGGTTGATCCTCGACCTGGAAAAGACTTTAAAAGGGCAAAGAACCTGCCGGGGCAGAAGGCTGGAGATGGTTGCACTTTGCGATCCAATCCGTGCCAACGAGACTGCGTGAGATCCTCAGTCGCCTGGCCTTCCATTTGAGTGATTGGCGAATGGTAGTGCTGACCCCAGGCATTCCAGCAGCACGGAAGGCTGCAGCCCTGCAGTCAGAACCATGACGGACACGGAAGACCACAGGCATGCAGACGAAATTGGAGGGCAAGCTGTCAAAGCCGCCTGGATGCGACCGTTCAGCGGATGGCAATTTCCTGCAGCAAGACACTGGTCTGAAGTGCCTTGTTTAGAAACTTCTGCACGGCATCCTGCAAGATGCGAGGAGTTGCAAATCACAGCATAGTCTTCATGGCAGTCTATGATTGCCTTCCTGCTCTTGTTGCTCCAGCTCCAGACTCTGAATAACAGCACTCCCCATGTCACCCCAAGCGCCCCTGAGGAACACCTCTGCACAGCCCGGTGGTGGCCTTTCAAGCGCCTCAAGGAAGCGAGGAGCCGTTTCTGCCAGCGGCACACAGGAGTGACCTGAGAGGCTGCCCACTCTGGTTCGGGAGGAACCATGCGAGCCCGGTCTAAGCGGCTGGCCCCAGCGGCCCAGTGCTTGCGCTGCTGTGCAGAGGCCTTGCACCGAATCACAACGAACAGCTGGCTGCTGCCTTCGAAGCCGAACCCATCCGACTTGCAACAGTGGCCGGTCATGCGCGGCTACCTCTTACGGGCACCTGCACGTCCAAGTCTCCAAGGTTCTGCCGGTGCAAGTCCTTGAAGACTGCAGTCAACTGCTTGCTGTGTGACACACACGCTGGATCATGCTGGATCACTCGCAGAGACAAGAGGCCTTGCTGTGATGTTGCTTGTGATGATGATGATGACGACGATGATGACAATGATGGTGATGGTGACGATGATTTTGAGACTGACTCTCATGACTAACTTTGATGGCATGGCAGGTGGCACTCGTGGTCGTGTTGGTGGCAGTGAGTCAAGGGTGAGAATGCTACAAAGACCACTGCTTTTTGTGTTGTGGATGATGACTTCTAGTCAGTGGTGTGTTGGAGGAGGTCCTGGTAGCACGGCAGTCGTTCTTGCGGCTCATTTAGTGTTCATGTTTTTTGACCGCATTTCTTGTGGTGGTGCGGGGCCATGGAAGACACCTCACGAGCATTGAAAGACTGAACTATGAAACCGCCCAGCCTTGCAAGCGTTCAGCCACAGACCGCAGCAACGCAGATGGCCGGTCCTATCTGTGGTGCAGGAAAACTTGGCTGAGTCGGCAAGCTTGGCTAACGTCTTTTCGTGCTCGACCTCACATCCCAGAGTTCATGCAGCTCTCGGCGTGGCCTGTGCGTCCGCCCACTTCACTTCTGCCTGAAGGATCGCCAAGCAACTCCGCTGCAAGGCCTCGACAGAGCTAGGACCGAAGAGGGCAACGACATGTTGGCCTGCTGCCTCTCTCGACTCTCATGCGACACTCGGTCGTGCACATCACATCTTCACGGACCATTCCTCAGCATCCCCCGCAAACGGCCTGCGGGCGCAACCCGCCGTCGATGACGTGCCTTGCAGGATCCGGCAAATGAAGGCTGCCGCGAGACTCAGAAGGCATCGTTTCCCACTGGCGCGTAGCTTCCTGGATCTGCCAGGGCCCACGCGAGCCCTGCAGCAGCTCAAGAAGGATCTCTTCGAGTGCCTGCACGGTAGACGAGCCCGCGCTTGCAGCCGTTGACTGCTTTGCTGCTAGTGTGCCTCCGGGCGTCTTTGCGGCCGAAGCGTGGCCATGGCCTCAAACAGTCCAGCATACACAACGCGTGCCCCCCTTTTCGACATGAACCACACATAAACAAGCACAAAAAACGCACAACCATCCATATATATATATATAGATATATATATAAATATAGATATATGTATGTATGTATGTATGTATGTATGTATGTGTATGTATGTATATATACATATACACACACGAACGCGCAGCAGCAAACAGACTGCTGCTGCCACCGCCGCTCAAGCTTTCGTGAGAATGGCTGTAGGGTCCTGGGCTCCCTGCGTGCAGCACCATAGCGCATTGGATCAAGGCTTTCGGATCCTGGTTGGATGCTCCGATGATCCGAAACTGACCCATGTCGGCAAATCTGTCTGTCCTTTGTGGAAGCGGCGCAAACAGCTCGTTCGGCACCTTTGGTGGAAGTTTCACAGGCGGGGGTGCAGGGAGCCCTTCACACTTCATGAGGCTTCTGTCGGAAGACACACTGTAGCACAAGAGCCTATCTCCCCGGCCTTTGAGCAAAACGTCGTCTGCTTGCCTGGTGCACAAACCCTGCAATTTACCTGCACTGCTCTCTCCAAGCATCACATCGGATGCGCGGTGTGCGAAGATGCAGGTTCACAGCAGCGCAATTCCATACAATGCCGTGTTCCCTCCCACGAGTATCCGAATGCATGGCCAGCCAAGGCCTCAGTCGGGCCAGGCAGGATGCCACGAGGGCAGCCTGGCAAAACTTCCCGACTCGAAGCGATAGACCAAATGCCTGCTCGCCTCTCCAAAGCGATGATGACCGAAGGCAGACCCCTTACTTCCGACTGTTCTTTTTAAGCGATGCCCAAAGGACCACCACTGGCTCCAGCAGACGCCACAAAATCTGCAGACTTCTGACTCACACAAGTCCCTCCCCACTCCACGGCCCATTTCTGCATGCGCGAATGTCGCCAGCTTCTTTGGCCACTGGTTCCGCGCGGCCCTGAGCATTCGCAAGCAAAGGTCGCGTGTAAGTGTAGCATCGTGTGGTAATGCACCCTAAACCCTAAACCTAGCATGTCCACAGGCTCCACGGTCTTTGTGGTGCTTCGGGGTTTAGGCTTACGAGTCTCGGGTCATCAGGCCAAGCTCCTACGACAACGACAGCAAAAACCCAGAAAATTGGAACATTGTCCTCACGCCCGGAGGTGAGGTAATTAAAGCATTGGGAAACCCAGCACTACAATCATCCTAAATCCATCTTCCAACCTTCTGCTCTTCGCTTTCACCGCCAGGGCTACTGTACCCAAGTTCCAGCACAGAGTTTCTGCGAGGTGCTGGCTCGTGGGTCACCGCAGAGTCGCCAATGCGCAAGGTGGCATGGCACCTCGATGGAGGCATTAATATTAGATCTTATATATGATAGGTATTGTATATTACATTTTACTTACATATTCAATATTTTCATATATCAAATTAACACTGTTACAGTATGTATCATATTGTATTATATGTTGAATGTCTTTTGTGTAGTAATATTACATACTGTATGGAAGAAAAGTTCGAAGTCAAATGTTGAATTGGCGAAGTGCTTGCAGCACGTGGCATGGTCTGTCATGAGCATCGGCATGTCTCTCCAGCTTCTTTCTTGACAAAAACTCAACACAAAGAATAAGGCGACTGGGAAGTTGGGTGTAAGACTGTCAAGGATATTTCTCGCGCAAACTACAAGTAGCTCGGCGCAACGTATCAACATCTTTCAGCCAAAAGTGCTGCACCCAAGGTACAGCCAGTAGAGTGGCATTTTGATGACAATATAGCCAGTGTGGTGCCAGATGAACCAGGTGTCTGCACTTGCATGCAGGAACCACCACCAAATCCAGATCATCCTTACCATGTAACATGCTCGGCAGCTGCGATGGGGATACTACTCCTTGTCAAGTGTGTTCATCCTTCGAACGCTCGCTTCACACTGGGCTTCACCCAGCCAGAAACTAAATTGTTCTAAAACGCCGAATATTGCTGAACTATGTCTCCGGAGCCATGCAAAAATGGTCACTCAGAGCGTGAGAATTCTTGCCGCCTCGCTGCACATGAGCACAAATCGCGGTGCCCCAGCTGCAGGCAGTGTGTTCTTGGTCGAACTCTTGCGACGGTGCAAAGCCTAGGGTCTGCAGCTGGTTCAGTTCCTCCGACAATCCGATAATCTACTGTTGCGGCTAACAGCTACTGCAGCAAAAGTGCCGTTGGCCCGCAGCTGCTGTTCGATGTACCGCCTGGCTGCAAGTCATTTGCAATGTGACTGTCTTCATGGCTGACTTGGCTCCAATCGTGGCCGGAGACACATGTGGGCCAAACCCCAGGGCACTGCATAGCGTCCCGGCGCAGCTTCAATCAGCGCGGCCACCTCAGCTGAGCAGGGTCTCAGAGATGCCCGAAGTTCATCATATAGTATAAAGTATAGTGTATATATATATAAGTAGTATACATATATATATATATTATATATATATATGTATATATTATACACAGTATACTCTGATCCAAGCAGCAAGGCGGTCAGCCCTGGGGTCGTAGCGGTGAAGGCTTGCCATGAAGAGTGCTGTCTCCACCACGCTGGTGGAGTCGGTGCACTCGAAACGCGGAGTCTCCGCTGATGGACGCCTTTTTTCACAGCTTCTCCAGGCGGAAAATTTGGGAGGGGGGGGGGGAGCTGAGCCGAGCTGAGCCTTCAGACAGGGCGCATTGGCTCTGGCTGCAGAGCCAAGGGCTGCCATCCCAGCATCTTGCACATCTTGTTGCTCACGGCCAGCGGCACCCGAAACCAAATGATCCAGCACCTGCAACTGCCCGGCACCAACATCTAGTCATATTTTGCTCCCTAGTTCTCCCTAGCTTGGAATTCCAGACTTCAACTTCTTCTTTTTCTGCTTTGCTTTGACCTCTGGGCCTCGGACAGCTCCAGGAACGCCCCAGAGGGAGATGCGTGGCGAAGGGAGGGCGTGAAGCGCCAAGTCGGGTAAGCAGGATCATCCTCGGTCTTGTTGCCATGGCATTCCAGAATTTCAGGAGTCGTGCAGCCATAAAAGAACCGACCAGATGCTGTCGCATGAACTAGCCAGGCGGATGCCTTCCTTCCAGTCGGACCTAGCGGCTGTGCACCCTGGCGGTGGGCCCTCGTGATAGACTGCGTCGAACTGGTGAAATCGAGTGCTTCTGAGCGTGGCATCGAAGAAGCTCTTGGCCGCCACGTGCACCATGGGCATTAACACCTGTCCGCACTTCACTGGCTACTGGGACTGGGACGACAACAACAAGACAGAAGTCCCATGCTTATGGCGTCCTGTACAGGGTCGCCGCACTTGCTTTGCACAACTTTGCACTCTCTTTGCATGCAGCCGCAACAGCCACTGATAAGATGTCAGGGGTGAGGGGAGGGCAACACATAACTTTCCATTCTTGGACCGGGCTGCCACCACAGTCGGCCCCTTCACAAAGATGCGCTCGTTGATGACCACACCACGTGAGGACAGCCGGAAGAAGCGACTCCGGACCTGGATCAGGGAATGTGGCCAGCTAGGGGGCATGTGTACAGAACCAACGGCTCTGCACATCTGCTTGCATCTGACGGACACTTATCTCTATGTCGGATGGGCACCAAAAACTAGAAGCAAGCCCAAAGTGAGATGGGCCGAATTGCAAGCAAGCAGCAGATGCCATTCGCTTCGGCCGGAGTCCCTGGAGCAAGGAAACATGCTATACAATGTAGCAAGCCCGGCAGGGCATACCTTTTCAAGATCTGCCTGCCCTCCAGGCAGTGGCTCGCCGAGGCCGCCAGGAGAAGCCTCCTAATTACAAGCAATGCCGACCCATGCATCCTGCCATCCAAGAAAGGGCGAAGAGGGCGAGGCTTCAGCAAGCGGTGCTCATGTGCCTGCTTTGTGCTCCTATCTCGTAAAATGCAGATCCATCGCAGCATGTTTACTGGGACTGCTGGGACTTACTGGATCTCACTAAACCCTCTTGTCTCTCATGCGTGGCTCTTGCGGCATGACTTCCAGCACTGTCTTGACAGATGACAGGCGGGTCTTTGCCTCCGCATTACGAAGGAAACACCAGGCAGACGTCTTCATCGGAGCAACCAGCAACTGCATGTTCTGCGAGGAACGCATGCCTGAAACGGACTTGGCCGAGAGAATCCCCGCGCGATGACGCGAAGCATGTCCTCGTGGCATTGCACGGAACAAGCGCAAAGATCGTGCACCGGATCTTAACAATTTGTGCTTCTATCCATTTAAGATACAGTAGAACAGAAACAGCGACGGCAACGGCAATGACACGATGACCGCTTTGCGCTACCACAACAGCAGCAACGGCAACAACAACTACCACCACAACAGCCACAGGCACAGGCACAGCCACAACAACACTAATCACCGCCGCCACCACCACCACCACAACCACAAGCATCACCCGTACCATCCCGTACCGGCTCATAGCTCATGGGCTTGTCGTAGTGTTTGCACACGCACACACACACATATGCACAGAGACAGAGAGAGAGAGGAGAGAGAGAGAGAGAGAGAGAGAGAGAGAGAGAGAGAGAGTGCGAGGACATAGGCTAAGGCACGTACTGCGCCTTAAGGTGCAAATGGCATCCTCATGCCTTCGCCTTTACTATTCAGGCACTGCAGGTGGACGTCTGGGCTCCACACGACGAGCATGATACGCAGCGTGATGATAGCAGCTCACTTGACCCTAAACCCTAAACCGTTGGAAGTCTGGGATTGGCTCCTGGAAGAGTGGCGACTGGACATCGAGGCCCGCCCGAAGTAAAGCATTGCAACAGATTGTTATGTCCTGGCATGGCAATCGAAAAATCAGTCTGGGTCCGGTGGGCAACCTACTTTCTGGCTGCAACCCACATGCTCCACGCCAAAAGCTCTAGACGTCGCCGGTACATCGATTAGAAGCATCCGGGCAGCCTGTCGTCACAAGCAGTAGTCGTCGGAAGGCAGCTACATCGGCTTGACGTGGATGTAGAGATTCATGGTTGCGACTGCATTGAAAGACAAATTACGCCGGCCAGACTCTTGAAGTGGATGGCCTCGTGGCAGATGGCCAATGGCCAACATTCCAGTAACATTCTCTGCTATGGGCAAGGTGATGCATGACTTTTGCCCAAGGCAGATGCAACAGCACAGCCCATTCAAGCTTCTTTCCTCGCTGGCCTCTTGAAGTCATCTATCGTCCTCTGCATGCCTCTCTGTCCCTACCATAAATGCAATGTACCATGGATGCGCGGCAGCACATTCTCCATAACTGCGCGTGCTGAACCTTGACGTTCAGGAAAGTCCCTCTATGCACGCGGCTCGCAGAATGGGCCAAGTGAGAGGCAGTATTTGCCGACCACCCCACCTTAGCAGCTTCAAAGAAGTGCAGGAGCGGCTAGAAAATGCTAGAAAGAGTGACAGCGACGTGTCTCCGTAGCCGGAGTGAGCAGGCATGCACTCCAGTAGGCGTCACATCTCCAAGCAGCCGAGTATGCAACCACGTCGCATTGCACGAATCCAGGCTCGAATCCGGTGCGAACAAAGGAGAGCGGGCACTGCACCAGATCGATGTCAGGGCACATCCAGAGCTTGTCTCCGGCCACTTGACCCTGACAGGTTCGTATCCCTCGTCCATGCCCAAAAGCATCAGCAGCAGAACTACTGGCATAACAAACAGCCCGACTATGGCTACTATTGCTGCTGATACTCCCTTCGTGGTCGCGTCGTCATGGTGCTGGTAGTGGAGTAGCAGGAGCAGTAGCAGTAGTGGTTGTAGTAGTTGTCGTCGTCGCCGTAGTAGTAGCAGCAGAAGCAGGAGCAGGAGCCGTAGCAGTAGCAGTAGCAGTCGCAAGCAGCAGCACAGGAGTAATAGTAGTAGCAGCAGCAGCAGCAGGAGGAGTAGTAGTAATAATAATAATGATAATAAGAATATTTTTCAATCCGATTGAACTCTGCGAGCGGGCTCCACGCATGGCGGGCATACTATGATAACAATAATGAGGAGGAATGCGAGAAGCATGTCCTTCACGTGTGGTACACTACCCGAAGTAGCGAGGCCTTGCAGTCCACGGCGCTGGCCAAGCCCCAGACTGCCAGTAAGCACAAGGCACGCTGCAGTCCACGCCGTGCCATGGAAGGCCTGTCTTAGGGAGCCTCGAGCCCCTGCGTTCCTGACGGAAGCAGCTGCAGCGACGGCTATGAAGTGCCAAGGCAACATCAGACCGATTGAGAGGGCACCGTGTCACGAATCTGATCGCCTAAATTGCCGACATACCGGCCGCGCGCGGGGTTTGGGGCAGTGACTGAGGCAGCACAGTAAATCAAGAAGTATCAACAAGCGTTAAGCCGATTGTTGCTGCTGAGGCCCAGGCAAATCGTGGTTCCAGCAGATGAGAGCGTCCACACGACGAGCTGAGTGAAATGGCCAGTGAGTCTGAGGGAGTCGCTTAAGCAAGCAGCTGCAAGAAGCATTCTGAGGGAATCGTCACTTGAAGCTCTGGCTGATTCAGGCAGGGTTCACTGCCTCAAGCGCGTGCATGACTGGCTCCTTCAGCTCCAAGGAGCTGGCCCATCGCAGTAAGAAAGGCGGAGTCCACGAGGGCAACTTGGACGCTGCTGTGAAGGAGTGCCTTGACAAGAAACCCCGCACTGCAGTGGGGAAGGCGAGCTTCGAGTCGTGAGATGCACTAAGATAACAGTATAATATACTATACCTGTACTATAGTATACTATGATATACTCGCGTGCATATGAGATGCTGGGCCGCCGGGCTGTTACATCCCTCAGTCGAAGCATGGGAGCCACGGCTCGGGCACGCAACCGAACCTCCGCAGGCCAGCTGCAAGTTGAAGGAAGCTATACAAAGTAGCCCAATCCACTAACTCAAAAAACACTCTAGCATGTCCTAAGCAGATGTCCCAGTTGCACGGTCCGCTGTCTTCTGGGCTCTGCACTGCTTGCCAGAAGAAAGGGTCGCACAGTCCGTGCGTGGCAGCCCAATGCGCCTGGCTTCGAAAGGCAGCCGTGCGTCACTGATGCAGGATTTGCTTGACAGACGGAGCAGGACTAGGGCATGCCATGCTGTTGCAGACATTTCTTGCCAATTCCGACGAACTGAATACCTTCTTGCCCAACTGCACGCCGTCGAGCTTGAAGGGATGTGGCGAGAATGCCTCGACAAGCAGCACGCTGCCTATGTGTTTTGAACATGCCTGCAGAAAGAAAGGCGCCACACCGCAAAATGCTTGCTGGGAAGCGGGCTTCGGCAGCCGCAACATCCTCCGAGCCAAGAGATTCCAGCTGTGAGACTGTGACGTTTGACTCAGAGTTTGCTTAGTCACCTCCAAGGAAAAAAAAGGAGAAGCTTGCTCGCGAGCAGCAACCCTTCTGAAGAATCGAGGGTCCTGCTCGCCTTTACAGCTCCCAGGATCTAAGTTCGGCAGCTCTCCAAGCTCCAAAGGGACTATAACCGTTGGTCCGACGGTCTATGCGAAACTCTGCCGGGTCCTGTCTCCATGGTGCCAACTCGAGGGGCACGTGCCGGCCGACCTCGGGTTTCGAGCTTCCCAGTGTAGCCGTCTGCAGCGACATCGTCATGCAACAGTGTCACATAGTGTCACAGCGAGTCCTCTACCGGTTGCTGACCGTGCAGCAGCGCTGCATGAAGTCGTGTGCCCACGTAGCGGAGTGCCCTAAAATTTGCTCGGAACAAGGACATACCGGCCCTGTGAAAGCAGCATGGCCGGGCATGCATGTGGATCTGCACCCCTGAGTCACGTACCTCGTTGAAGGTGCCGCACCGTTCGACCCCGCTTCACGGAATACCATAATTGACGCTACAAGCGGACACAATCTGGAAACTTGGAGCCCAACTCGCGTACTCCGCGAGCGGATCATGTGGCATGGCCATTGTGGGATACGGTGCACACTATCGATGACTTTTGGGATGGACTGGGCTGGGCTGCCGAGACTTGTGCACAGTGTCGACAGATGTAGATATCAGAGCCAAAGATTCTCGCAGCTGGCTGCAAGGCCGCCCTAACTGTATGATGCAGATTGTCCGGAAGTTGGGTGATTGGTTCCATGCCGTGTGACACTAAAGCCAAGAATATTGGCAGCAGGCTTGGCAACAACAAAGGCATGCCGGATCAAGCGAGATTCCTGTCAAACCTGTGGTGGTGCCACTACGCACTTCTACATGCATCAATCGAGGTGGGCAGCTGGCTCCTTTTGTCACTCGATCTTCTTTCTCGATGCCGTCCTGCTGCTTCATTGCGAGGCGTGTGCCTTGGAGGTACAATGACGAGAGAATTCCAGCGGCACTGATTCTGAGGCTTTGAGATGTTCGGGACTGCGACCAGCCGAGACCGTGCTCCGTTCTGGCCACACGATGCTGAGACGAGTCGGTCCTGCAGAGTTTGTCTCTGCACGAAACCGACAGCTAGGCTAGGACTAGGATCCTCAAGGAGACGACGGCCGAAGGCACTCAACTCTTGTGAGTGCGTTTCATTTAGTCCCCCATGGCCCATGGTTCGTCTAGGCTGTTAGCTGAAGGTTCATCAGACCAGCAAGCTTCAGCAACAAACTATTCAACTCGTTGTCTTCGTTACGGGTTATCCGTTCGAAGAAAATGATCGAGCTCGCAAGCTTTGGCTCGTCGAACCCACCAATCACTGACCGAGCTGCCTTCCCGGCGATGAGGTGCTCACAGACGGCAGAGAGGATAGCGAAGTAATTGCTGCGCAAATCTACGCCATCAGCCTCATAGTTGAGGTATGCCTTGCCCTCTTGATCAGACCTGATCGCATACTTGCGGTTCGTGCTACTCCCATGCTCGATGTTGTTCTTCATGTATGGCGGCGACGGAATGACGAACCACATCCAGCAGGAGGACTTTCGGCCAGCCTGGATCTCTTGCAAGGCCCGGCTAAAGGTCCCGTTTTCACTCTGCGCGTCGACGAAGCGGTAGAGGTTGAAAGGGTCGCCACTCCGCCGCGGCGCGCTCTGCGACCGCGCCCGTGCTTTGGGCTTGGGGCCGGCCAGTGGCGAGTCTGGTGAGTTGTGCGTTTGGGGTGAAGGTGACCTCGACGACTGGAAGCGCAGGCTCTTCATGCCGCGCTTCGAAGGTGCAGGTGGAGAAGTTTCTGTCGCTAGTCCAAAGGTCGGGTTGCTGTGTCGGCGCTCCGTGCCCACAGGCTTTGCAGAGGCTGTGGGGCTGGTCTGTCGGCAACCTTTGACTGCACCTCCTGGTGGGCTTCTGGCAGAGTCCCTGTTGACACTGCGTGGGCCCACTGAAGATGGATCTGCTGGTAAAGCAATGGACGGGTTGCTGTGGCGACGCTCACCCACACGCCTTGTGCAAATACTCGGGCTGACCTGCCGGCACCCTTTGACCGCACCTCTTGGTGGGCTTTTGGCAGTATCCCTGTTCGCACTGCGTGGGCCCACGGGAGAAGTCGGATCTGTCGGCAGGTTGAAGGTCGGATTGCTGTTGCGGCGTTCTGTGCCAACGGGCTTTACGCAGGCAGTGGGGCTGGCCTGATGGCATCCTTTCACTGAACCTCGAGGTGGGCTTTTTCTGGCAGTGTCGACACACTTTGGGCTAGCGCTCATCTGGCCCAAAAGCGCCTGGGCGGGCGCGGTGACGTGCCGCCGATTTGCCCGACGTGCCACAACACTCGGAGCATGGCTCAAAGGAAGCAGTTTTCGGCTCGGTGTGGGAACGCTCTCCAGGACGGGCTGCGTCTCCTTCGAGTCAGCGTCGGAGGCGTCCATGTCCACTGTAACTTTGGTAAATCTCTCAAACAAAGGTTCGAACCTTGCAGTGGTAATCACCACATCAGCCATGCTTGAGCCAGCTCAGGCTGTGAAGACGGTCCTGTACTTTTCGCTTCTCTCTTTGGTCTGAGTCTGGCTCTTCATGGCAAGGCCGCAAGAAGAAAGAGCCCGGGTTATCCTCATAATATCAGTATTGACCATATATAGATAATTAGTACAAATATTAACAATAGCCATACTAGTAATAAAATCATCATAATCACCGTCATCATCATAACCAATGCGCACCCTCATACGCAAACTATCACTAGTACGAATACCAATACCAATATTGATATGAACACTAATGTATAATACTAATTTGACAACAGCGATCATGGTCTTATACTTGTAGTGATGATGGTGACAACGATAATCGCCTGGCCTGTCTGGCCATGGCCTTGGCTGAGGCCTCCGGCAGAGCTCCTTGAGGCGAAGCTTGGAATGGCCCACACCAAGCCAGGGCGCAGGTGCGGGCACCCGCGACGCCTCGCACTGAGCTGGCGAAATTGAGGGAAGATCTAGAGGCAAAGTCTCAAATCGAGCTGTAGTGTTGATCAGAGTCGATGATTGTTGATGGGAATGCCGTGGCTTGGGGGAGATACATTTTCAGAGACACAATGCCTGGACCTGCATCCACACAGGCACAGCAATACCTGCAAATCGAAACGCCATTAACATTTTTTGGTGGCGAGCTTGTCTGGAAAAGCTGGTCGGCGATTCTTGCCGACAGGCTTGACGTGTGGCTTGCCCGAGCATCATACAGCGATAACCTGACCAACCTAACATGAAGTGCTGGTAGATGCTAGTAGCGGACCAACAAACGCCGAAGCTCCAGGCCTGAGATGTGTAGATGATTCAGAAGCACGTCCAATCTTGTGTGGACACATGATGGTCAATTTAACTACGCCTCATGGGAAGCTTCAATCATTAGCCTATCTGCCTTCGTGAAAAACAGTTGTTGAGAGCTTTGTCTAAAGCCTCGAAACTGTCGGTCGAAGGACCTGTCGTTCCCAACGAGTACCAGTACGAGATTATGGCCAAACTTCCTCTGGGGATTCTGGAAAAACATACCTGCAGCAGCACATAGCAGCACGTCTTGGGGAATGACAGTACGTAAATCAGCGAACTGGATCAGGAGCCTGTTTTACAGGCGTGCTCCCCTTCAGCAAGCTAGGATACCAGCCCCCAGCCCCAGCCTTGGCACGCGAGACGGATCCATGTTCTGTTTCAAGCACTGCAAGCTTTTTGACTGCAAACCTGAGGGAAGTGAACATGCATAGTTCAGACAAGCAGCTGGGAGAGCTGGCTGGGTCTGCATCTTCTTTTCTTGACTCTGGTCGTTCGTGGACGTGATGTCAGCCGCTGGCCGTTCATCTGGGCTGGCCGCGGGCAGCACACGACGAAGCTGCCGGACTTTACCTGTGCAAGTGTTGGACTGCGTCCCAGTGAGGCCGTCCTCGTCGAATGTCAGCGCATACCAGAACTTTCCATGGCAGATATGCTGAATCGTCCCCGGCTCATCCTTGAACTTGCAGCCTGGGCGGAAAGGAATCCACCCATCATCTCCCTGCACTTCCCAACTGGATGCCACCACCGGTTTGCGCTCCTTGCCCGTATCCTTGCCCGCGTCGCGGCTCTCCTCCTTCTTGCCCTTGGGGGGACGGGCGTCCTGTTTCACCTTGAGCGCGGGCGATGTGCGCGCCGGGTTCGCAGGCCGTCCATCCCGGGCAGGGGAGCTCCCTCCTGCGTTCACTTCGTGAAGCTTCAGGACACCTGGGCTGGGGGCAGGCGGTCGACCATCAGACGTGCGCGTCTTCGATGGGGACTCGTTGTTCGACGGCCTTTCGAGGTGATTCCGAGACTTCGCCGGGGACTCACCATTCGAGGGCCGCTCCGTTTGGTTGCGGGCTTTGGCTGGGGACTCCCCTGCGGTGCCTTGCCGCTCTGGTTGGCCACGAGGCTTTGTTGGGGACTCGCTTGTGCTCGACGGTCTCTCTTTGTGAACCTCGCAGGAGGCACCAGCATTGACACTGCGCTTGCGAGATGCAGACTCCATTGACTCCAGATCTAAGCTTGGCCCCTAAAGACTCTTTACGCAAATCCCGTCGGGCCTGGCCTTGAGAGCAGGGGAGGTGCACGCCATGGCTCCAGGGAGCATGCGCCCTTCCTTCGAAACCGGCCAGCTGCTAGTGACTTCCTGCAATGCCTCGGCTGGAGGGTTCGGCGTGCGGCTGCGTGGAGGCGGGCTCACACTGCGGCATCTGAAGGAGCTCGGCCCAGCCGATTCCGTGCCGGTGCCATCGTGGCCCTGCTTCAGGAGCATTGCCTTGTTGGCTCGTGGCTCAATCAGGGGCCTCTTGTGCCGTCCCACATCAGCCGGGGCAGAGTAAATCACGTGATAGGCTGGGCACATGCGCCGGGCGGACATGATGCGCCAAACACCAAAGGATCTCTCGTCGTCTCCATCACTCACGTCGGGCACGCATGCAACAACAAATAGAGCAAAGAGTCGGGCCTTGTGGCCATCCTCGTCATCTACTTCGGGTCCCGGGCCTTTGGAGGCGTAAGAGTGGGCTTTCTCAGCCAAGCCGCCGAGCCAGCTACCTTTCGTAAGGTGGCCGCAGGATGGGTCGAGTCCATTTTCGGCGATCAGGGGCGCATACTCCCAACGAGTGCCGTGCAGCTTCATGAACTGCTTGTGCGTTTTCTGTGATCTGGCTTGGCGCTCGAGAGAATCCTGCTCCTCTGTGCAGAACCTGCGCAACAAAGCCGGCTGCTCCACACGGCGCATCTCCACAATCTTGACACGGTCAGGATTCATACTGTCATAGAATATGTTCTCAATGCACTCGCACTCCTCTATGGAAAGCGGTCCACCTTCCTGCCTTGCAGCCTTCCAGAGCTCAAGTAGCTCAGCCAGCTGCTGTTTGCCATTCTGGCGTGTAGGCTCTGGAGATGGGGATGGTGTCCGGCTGCACACCTCGTCCACAGACTGATCATCTGATCCCACTGTCCGGCAGCTCGGAGAGCCACTGGGAGATCTGGAATCGGAGGCTTGTCGAGCGCCTTTCCCATCTCGACCTCGGGGAACCTCCAGCAGCCTCGCTGGCTTAGAATCCGGGGAAAGGCTCCCCGCTTCCGTTGCCTCCGGCTTCTCTTTGCCTTCTGGCACTTCCTCGGCCCGCTCGAAGTTGCTGGTGGCCCAGGACATGCAAGCAACATCCGAAGGGGCCGTGGCGGGGGCCGGGTGCTTGGCAACGTCGGGGCCTGAGCTCGGGCTCACCACCTCGCGGCTTGCCCTGGCTTCGCTTTGCTTGGCAGGGCCTGGAACTGGAGTCGCGGAGGCCGGAGGGACGGGGGCGGACGGCTTCACAAGTGTATCTAGCAAAGGTGCGCTTGCCCTCATTTTGCAGTCAGGTGCATTGTGGGCGCTGCCTTGCGAAGCGTCTGGTGCTGGTCCGACACGGACTGGAGTGACCGGAGAGCCCGGCTTCACAGCTATCGTGTCGGGAGACGGCCTGACAGGAGCAGGAGATGTCTTGGTCTCTCTCCCAGGTGCAGAAACTTCCATCCATCGAGGCTTTTGGGGTTGTGGCGAGCCCGGACAGTTGGGCACCGACCCTGGCATCATCATCGGAGAAACCTGCGGCACCTGTCCCTGCACACGCTGCATAAACATGGCTTGAAGGGGCTGGAGCGGAGCCGGGGGACCCGGTTGGGTCCCTGGCTGAGGCTGCGGAGCCCCGGGCTGGAGAACTTGCTTCACTGGCTGCGACACCGGCTGCGACACCGGCAGTGCCGGCTGTGTGCTTGCGCTCCGCGGCGCAGCCGGGACGAAGACACGAAGCTGGTCCATGGCTGCCAAAGCACACGTCTACCCCTTAAACCCCCCGAACCACAAACTGCGGAGCCCATGAGGAAGAAACGTTCAGAACAAAGCAAGCCTTCACCGGAGCAATTGCAGCACTGTGACTACAAAAGGGGCAGAGAAAATAAGGCTACCGGTAGCATTCGTAGCTAGAGCCTTTACCCCTCAAAATAATTTCGACCCGATAAGGCCCTCGGCCGGGGCCTGCCGCCATGGCATCGCTGCGAGGCGAATCGTGAGAAGAGGATATGAGTCAGTTCTCTAGATTAGGGTCCCTTTTGGGTCCTCTTTATAAGGGTGCCGTAAAAGTAGGGGACCAAAAAAGGGGACCCAAGTTTGGAACACCCGTATGGACACAGGAGTTGGTATAATTTGCTGTAACTTCAACTTCCTTCTAGCCTGGGAAACGAGCCAGATCCTTGCAAATGAACCTTGCGTGCACGGATAGGTAGAGTAGAGTAACTGAGCAGCACTGCAGGACATGCTTTCCGAGATGTCTCCTGACTCCTGCAGCTATCGTCATTTTCGTTGGGATCAATCGGTTCGGAGCTGGTAGCATGAATCATGCTTCTAGGAAGCGCTACCAGTAACAAGATCTATCAGAAGGCAGAAAGCGTTGTGCTTTCCTCCGCGAAGTTCGCATGCTCTCGAACATCCTACGATTGTCCAAGCGCTGCGGTTTCAAACTTCAGGGACTTACGTGCAATCTCTCTCGACACTTCTTCCGCTTACTCAGGTCAAGTGCCTGAGCAAGCGACGTTGCCATGTCTAAAGTTCAAATTTGGACCCTTCAGGCTTTGGACTTCAGTGGCCGCATGAAGCGAGGAACGTTGCCGTTCGAGGCAGTCGTCGCTGCCGGAGCTCTGGGTGCACTTGGAGCGGCGGTTGCCTTATGCGCAGCCTCAGACACCTGTGGCCTTGTTGCTGCCGCTGGCTTGGATGTGCGGAGAGCGAACTTCTGAGCGCTCTTAACCGGGGCGCCTCCTGCGGCAGCCGCCGCAGGATATCCAGCATTCGCAGTGCGCCTAACCTGTCGGTTGGCTTGCGCTGCCATGGCAGCAGACTCCACAGGCGCTGCACCAACGTCGGCTGGTCCAGCTCCGTTGGCGGGTCGCCTTCGGATTCCGGTGCCTTCCCAAGCCGGGGCTGCCTCCCCTTTGCGCTGACGTTGGATGCGACGGACCTTACCGGTCGTCAGGTTTGTCTGAGTGCCGTGGCCCTCATCCTCGAAGTGGACTTCGAAAGTGTAGCGTCCGAGAGTGTAGCGCAGAGGCTCGTCCGTGTTACCGTCGAAAGGCTCGTTTCCCGGCATCCATGGACTCCAGCCCTTCTCCAGCTCAATAAGCCACTGGTACTCACCTTCGTAGGATGCGGTGTTGTTGGTCGCGAGGTAGCAGCAGGTGGGCAAGTTGCTGTCAATTTTCGTAGCTTGCATGGGCTTGTCGGACATGTCCTGGGCAATGGTCTGAGGCTGCTGGACCTCCTCCTCACCCGAGGCAGGTGGCGCCTGGCCCTTTGCCACGAAGCACAGCGCACGGGCTTTGCCTGTGGAGAGGTTGGTGGAGGTGCCTTCGGTCTCGTTGTGGAAGTCGACCTGGAACTCCGTCTTGCCGAACATGTAGCGGAAAGGCTCGGTGGGTCCTTGAAATTTCTGCTCGCCCACCATCCAGGCACTCCAGCCCCGCTCCAACTTGATCAGCCACTCGCCTTCGACAGCCATGGCAGCCATCAGCAGATGCTACTCTTGGTGTGTACTGACTAAGACCTCGAGCCTGTGTAGGGCGCTTGCAGAGCGAAGACACAAATGGTGCCGCAAGCAAAAACAAGAGCAACCCATCATGTCAAGAAGCCAGCAATGCTCTAAGACTGTCTGGCAACAGAAGGGGTTATCCGCGCTTTCTCGACATGATGAAGGCTGAAGCACGAGTAAGGCATCGAAGTATGTGACAGTGCGAAGCACCGCTGTGATGCACCACTCTCTGAACCTCGCGTTATCTCGCGGTGGCGTTTGCTCGGGGATGGTGCAGCATCAGTGTGCGGGGAGTGGTGACGAATCGTGGCGATAACCAAGAATAGCTCGTTCCGCTGGCTGAATGGCCCGCATGCTCAGTGCGCAGTCGGCGTCGACCAACAGTGCTGGCACAAATTTCTGCGCCAGACTCAACCAGGGTCAGAAACCAGACTTTCCGCTCCGTGTGTCTGGTCAGGAGACCCTGCAGGATCGAAGAGCTCGAAGCCATTTTCACACTCTGGAGAGGACGTTGCGTCGTTGCAGGATCGCTTCTTGTGCCAAGCAGAGTGTCAGCGCCTCAGTATAGACCCGCGGCCCACTGAACACCTCTACTAGCCCCGTTTAAGAACAGGCCGTGCACGGCGTGCAGGCAGGTGGCGAATGAGTGCTCAGGTGCTTCGACTCCACGATCCTGCAGCAGGGCGACCATTGCTGCCAACACCTGGAAGGAAGATTCGGCTCTGAAAGAGTGGCAGTTGCGCAAATTCCTGCTCTGATTCATGGGAGCTATTGCTCATCCCTCGAAAGCAGCCTCGGATCGCGGAGCCTCCGCATCTGGCAGGTAGCGCTTTCGAGCCAGCCTCGCCGGCTGCAAGAGTGCATGCCAAGCTCTCAAAGTTAGCAGAGTTTTCTTGCGCATCCAGTCGGATTTGACACCCTCATGCCACTGATCAGCCAAATTGTGAGAACCCTGCTGGCTTCGTCATGCTCGGATTACGACTGACTGTGCCACCGAACGACTGGGCGATAGCCTGCGGAGGAGGACATTGACTTGGAGCGACCTAAAACTTAGTGCCACTTCGGCGCCAAAGGCGGGTGTCGCGGTCATCTGGAGGAGGGCGCCATTGCTGCCGAACCGCATTATCTTTGAACACGGTGTCCAGAAAATGCAGCATCTCCTGACCCCACAGGCGCCCAGGGATGATCAATGAATAAGAGACTTCAGATTTAAGATACTAGCCGCTTACTAGCCCTGATTTTCCCATGTACCTAGAATCCTTTTATTCAGGGGGTCTAAGTCTACGCTTGGCCCTTCTCATTCCCTAAAGGACGTGCTGTAAAGCCGAGCTTCAGCACAATCCATCTCACCTCTCAGCACCGGCATGGAAGTGACCCGCTTCGAGTGCTTTAAGTTGATCCGCATTGCTTTGCTGTTGCGGTGCCAGAAAGCACGCAGTTCTTCGCACAAGGATGCAGGCTTCTCTGAGAGCACCTGCTGGCAGTCAAAAAAGGGGCCTGTGCAAACTGCAAAACATGCCGACAAGCCAGAACCGTCAGAGGATAGACTGTGGTCAAGAAAGTTGAATTAGCCAGCGTTGGGGTCCGGAATGCAGATATTCAACAAATGCCAGCCGTGGCGACAGTACGACAGTGGTTACAACTCGCAGCCAAGGAGGGCAACTCTTGACTTCGAGGCAAAGGTTCTTCAGCCATCAGGTGTCATGTTGACTGCTGTGCTACCCTAGCGTTGCAGGGACCTAATTATTGGGTCCTTAAGGGGTCTAGGGAACACTCACTCCTTTTTGCTCTGCATAGGGGCGGGGGTGCGACCGAAAGACTTTAACATTATTGCTAGTGGCAAAAGGCTTTTAGCAGAACTATTTATTTGGCACCAGTGTGGCTTCTGACACCAATGACATCCCAAAGCTGCACTGCACATCCCCTCCAACGTCCACCACTATCACTAAGGCTCCGAATACTGAAATTTGTGTACACGCCGTGCGCAGCATTTCGAAAGCTGGCTGAATCAAAGCCTCAGTTGAGCACTAAAGCGCTGTCGTCGCAAACTTTGGTACGAACACAGCAGGTCGTGTGAAGCTGGGGAAGGACGTCCGGTGGCACGTGACGCGCATTCCCTACCGACATAGCTAGGGCAGCTAGGGCTGGGTACAGGCGCTTCCTTCGTGCGTGTGCTCCATGTTACTGGCGCATCCATCGCCAGAGAGATTGCGCGCACTAGCTGCAAACGCTGGTTCAGCTGACAAACTAGCTCCTCGAATCTACAGTAACAGAGATTTGTCAAGGGGTGCCCACACCTGCTGACGCGGGTGCATGAGGACATTGGTGTTGTATTGTATGGTCGTCATGACTGGGCGATTCAATGGACTGCTTCATTAATGCCAATACGCCCGTTTTGTCAATGTCACTCGGATCCGAGCAGGAAGTTGCAGAAAATTCTGCATGGCTGTATGCTTACCGATGTGTCTGGGCATGACAAGTTCGGTTCGTAGAAGCACAGGCAAGACAAGTCCCCTGCCTTTAAGAATCTGGGGCTGACGGCTCTAGCGAAACACTCCGGCCGATCAAGAGGAGGGACGGATAGGGACGGCAAGGTAATGGTGTCGCATCATGCGATTTTTCATGCCCGAAAGAGCCGACCCGCCTCGTAGCCCAGCCAGCCCAAGACTGCAAGTGCCAGGCCATCCTTCGCTTTCTCTACGCGCCAGCGTTTCAGAGCAGCGGGTTGTTTCCGGCCCTCCATGGCCTCGCAGATTCCAGGACAAGCTCGATCTCTTCGCTGCAGACACAGTGGGTGGACTACGTAAGGATATGTAAGGCCCTGAAGCTCCGAACTGGTTCATGCCAGACTTCAGAACCTACGCTCCGATCAAGCATATTCAGCATGACGACCTCGACTGAGGCATCCAGGTCCAGTATCATCCAGTACTAGGCAACAGCCGAATCCACATCTCAAGTCTAGTCAAGTCAGATGCACTCTGGGACTTCACACTTCACCTGGTCCCGAGCGAATATGTTGCTGTTGAAATCGCTCTTGGTCGACGGGTGTTGCTTAGTGTGCACAGAGGACAGGACACAAGACTCGTCGAGAAGAATAAAACTTGATGAAACCGTGTGCCGGGAATTTAGAACACTTATTTGAGCAAGCTTGCCATGCAATCTTGCAATCATGGTCTCGCTGACTAGTTTACCTTGTAGACCAAGGTTACAACCAAGATTGTCCAGCAATCTTGGTCTCCAAGTGGGGCAGGGGCAAGATGACCAAGATTGCTTGGCAATCTTGCTCCCCCCCTTGCCTGACCAAGACTGCCAAGACGATTATTCAAAATAATTGTTCTCAATAGGATAAAAGGACATAAAAGGACTGCTCTAAGTCATTGTGGCTTAGCCGGCTTAGCCTCGAAGAAGAGCAGGTCTCCGGGATTCGGGACGGCAGCGTCCAGAAGCGGTCTCGCAAGGAAGGCTGCGACGCACCAAGGATACAACTGCACATCCTCGATCTTGTTGGCGTGGAAAAAAATGGCCAAAGACCTCGCAGTTGGGAAAGGAGGCAGCTCTGGCAGGTAGCCAAGCTCTTTGAGAGCGTTTCCGACCTCTTGGAAGACTTCCTGGGCCCTCTCCTCCTCGTACTCTCGTTGAAACCTGGCTTCAAAGGCCTCCTTGAAGCCGGGGTTGCTTGGAGGAACTCGAAATCGGCAGGACTCCACGCCGGAGAGGGCGCAGCGCTTCTCATCGCTCGTGTAGGGCACGAGAGCCACGGAGTGGATGCCGCGATTCTTTAGCTGCAGGTGATAATCCAGAAAGTCGGAATCCGTGGAGGCGATGGCTATGCAGCTGTCAGGACTTGCTGTGGCAATTGAATTCGCCACCTCCATAATGGCAGCATCGTTAGGGTCGGGTAGATCCGTGGTATTCTTCCGCTCGACTTTCTGGAATTGAATTCCATGCTGTGTCAAGTGCGATTTCCATGAGCTTGCCAAATGTGGAGCTCCGAAGCAAACCGCCACTTTAGGCCTTGCGGAGGACACAGTCAGAGGTGTTCAGAGGTGCTTGAATGATGTTGGTGTCTTCAAAGCTGGTTCAAAGGTCTCCGGCACTTAACAATATAGTTCAATAGGGTGAAAGGCGAACTGTCAAGTCATGGCTTGGGCATGCCGGCCTTTCTCCGGACATCGTCTGCACTGCCAGCAACACGGATTCAAACCACTGAGGTCCGATTTGATCTCCATCAATTAGCAGGGCGACCTTGTCCGTCCGCCGTGTTGTCCGTCCCTGAGATGCGCAAAGTTCTGTACGACCTGGCCTCCCAAGCTGCAGAGTTCGCAAGAGGGCTCGGGGGGCCTGGCCCTGCCCCTTGTGATGGACCAAGAGCGCAACAGCAGCTGCTGCTAAGCCAGCTTTGCGAGGCTTGCCATGGAGAGCTACCATTGTAGGTGCATGAAGGCTGGCATCTGAGGAAGCTGCAAGTGCAGCACTGAGCCAGAAAATCACGTGGGCCCACGGTGCTCAAGGCCATCTCGTGCAACCGACATGGTCTGCAGAACTATCCGAGGCAAAGCTTCAACATGTAATCTCTGCAGCGCATCGTCCTGTAAGAATCGATCTCTCGCGGAAAATGAGGTAATGGAGCCACGAGCTTGCACTTGCACACAAGGACTCTTACAACAGAGACCCGTTGTTTGCATTGCTCAGCTAGGTTTTCCAGCGAGCAGTAGAAAGAAGCGTTAACCGGTGTGGCAGTGCCAACTCCCTGTGTCGCTCTGACTGTTGTTGACCGGCGACTTCAACTCATACAGGCTCAAGGAAGGCAACAGTCAGAGGAGACAGGACTGGGATGAGGTTAAATTAGCTTGGGGCCCAAGGCCTTTTCAGGCCACGGGCCAATTTCAGGAACGTCAACGATCCCCCCCATGCCCAAAGAGTCATTAACCCGAGAAGTGGAAGGAGCCGCGCGCAATGGAAATGGATCGGCGCGGGTATAGCCGTTCTGCAGCCCGGTGCGGATGTCTCGTGAGGCCTTCATTCCTGTCTCTGCCTGTTCAGCTTCGGCATGAGAGGACGCAGTGCCAGGTTCCTGAGCTCCGGGTCTCGCCTGAACCTTCTCGCTTGGAGGTCCTCTGAAAAGTCGTCTGGCCGGAGGTCCGAGTGTATCTTGTCTGGGCTCACGGACGCCTCTACTCCTTCGCTGCATCACCTGTCTGGGCCGCTTTCAACCAGAGGCTGCTGGCCTGCAACGGATTCTCACAGGCTTGGCATGCAACTGATGATTTGGATGAAGCGTGCGACAGTGAATGCAACAGCTTTTCTGTCGAAGTGATGAACGTGACATGGCCCTGTCTCCTAGGCCCTATAGGCCGAGATGTAAAGGCAGAAGTCTCGTTGCACAAACGATCCGCCTTGCTTCGGCTCGCGATGAGGCTGGCTGCCTTTGACCCCGAAGGTGAGGACTGCGGTGACTCAGCCCCGGCCTCTGCCTTGGCCTTCCCCGCCGCTGCCTTGAGGCGCTGCAGTGCCTTCAAGCCCGCACTGACGTCCCGCGAAGGGCTGCCTGGATCTGCTTGCGCCTGCTGTGGTTGTTGTGGAAGTCTTTCTATGGCCTCGCCAGCCAAAGAGGCCCGGGCGCGCCGCAAAGCCGCCACGGTAGAACCCAAGGTGGCGGGCTCACCCGCTTGAGTTGCGACGAGAGAGGCACGGGGAGCAGAGGTGGGCTGTGGCTGTACCTGCTGTACGGGCCGTGGCTGTAGCTGCCTGAGCCTTTCAGCTTCCTGCTTGGCTTCCGAGAGCTCTGCATGGCAGCTGCTGTACTCGGAATTCAGCTCTTTGTAAGACTTCTCCAGTGACTCTGCAAGTTCCTGGGCCATAGTCTGACCCTTCCTTGTGGCCTCCAGGTCCCTCAGTGATGAGGTCAACTCTTCGGCTTTCAACTGCAACTCCTCCGCCAGTAGCCTCTCTGCCTTATGGGCGTCAGCTTCCAGGGCGGAGCATCGAGCCTGCCATTCTTCCACCTCTGCATGTCCTCGGCAAGACATCATGTAAGCAGCTCGTCCAAGATGATGCGAAGTCACTCACGAAGTTGGCATGTGAATGATAGGGCTTCGTGTGCACAGGGCAATGACAAGGAGTCGATGACGACTCGTCCCGCGATCATAACTTTGCAACGATGCATGCACTGACACAACGAGCCACGGAGTTAAGACCAGGGCGAGTTGTTGCTTCTTCCCAGCAGCCTTGCTCCTGCTCTTGGGTCGGTGCACACAAGAAGCTGCGCAGCATTCTTAGTGTCTAAAAGAATGCAGTAGCCCATGTTCTGCAGGCTGCTTTCGAGGTTCGCAAACATTCCTCAGAAGCATGAGAACATATGACAGCCAGAGCTGTCCTCTGCTTCCGCACATTTGAGTCTGAGCGCCTCATTCTCCTGAAAAGAGGCTGGAAGCATGACTCAAGTTCATGCATGTTCAATCACGCAGCTCAAAAAAAAACATGGTCAACTTTGACCCTTAAGCAAGCATTGACGCTGCTGCTTCTTAACAGTGGCAGACAGACAGTGCACAGTTGAGAACCGGACCAAATCATATTGCGACGCAGCCCTGTCCGACACAGGTAATTTTGCAGTATGCATTAACAGACGCCAGCCCGAGCGAGCCAAATCAAAAGATCCCCTACTTTGCCAGGCTAGCTTTAGATGAGATGCAAACTGAAGTCGTCCTACGAATAATCATTGTCATCCCATGTCATCCCACGTAGAGACAGAGAACACAGGAGACCCAGGAAGAGAACGATAGAAATCCATCCAAAGTCGAGGTGGTACATGTTGAAGCAGTAGCAGTCGTATGCAGTAGTATAAAAGGTATTATAGCAGCTCGCTGTGCCCTAGTTTGGGCTTTTCCTTGCTACGGCTCCGGCAAGGTTTGTTTTGGTCCATTCTTCGGCTTGCGTTAGGATATTTTTAGGGTTTGTGGTTGCGGGGGGGGGGGGGGG